TGATTGCATTCACTGTGGAAAATTAAATACATTATTTGCATGACATTATCTCACGACACGAGTACTTTCAACATTTAGTATCGTAATTGAACTCGATATACAGCAGCCGTAACAACAGCAAATGGGTTTAGATAATGTGAGAGAATCCATCCCAGTTGATGCCGGTTTTAGATTTAGAATCTTCCTCTTCCTATACTGGTTGTTCCCAAGGCTCATGAACCTAGGTACTCTGCTATTTAAAGCATATCTTGCCGACTTACCGAGTGCAGTTTCCGCACACATAGATCCATTGCGCTAACGCCAGATTCTGATTTTACAAACAGGGTTTGCTTATTTACTCAGTGCAATCAAAGGATATGAGAGGTAGATGCAAAGTTCTCGGCCAGACCAAGAAGGGTTTTTTTTTTTTAAATTAAATGTTTCGTGATATGTTAGAAATCGTCTCAGAATTTTTCTGCGCCCTTGCAGACTCCATATTATCTAACATCTGATGGATTCGTGTTACCCAATCTTAAATGCAGAGAAAGGAAGCATAAATTTAAAACTCTAAGTAAAACGGATTTTTGTGCAAAGGAAGATTTATGTTGATGGAATACACGTGCTACACTCGTTCAGAAATATAGTCAGCTATGTACAACAGCATTCTCAAGATCAATGGTTCAAAATAGGCTCGAGCGAAGTAACTCTGTAGGTCTTAGCGAGGAACATATTTCTTCGAAACTCGTGGACTGGCGCTACAGAATCAAAAACAAAGAACTGTATCAAATAATAACAAAAGCGAATAGTACATGTACATCGAATAGAAATTAGTGACATAATCAGTATGTTCATTTTCCACACTGCATCGAATAAAAGTTTAGGAAAGAAAACACGATCAATAGTGGAATGATCTGTAAGAATTAGAGGACTTGAGAAAACCATTTTCCTAATAAATGGTTTTAATAGAAAGATCATATAACTGTTTCGGATCATCTTCAATTATATTTCTGGTGTTCTTCAGTTCTTTAGGTATTTATACAGATAACACTACCATTTACTCCTGTCTAAATAGCAAATCAGTCAGCGTTGATAAAGTAAATCTGGCTGTTGTCCTTGAAAATGCCTTCCAATCAGTGGTTAACTAGACAAGAATGGCTTGTAAATTTTAACACATCCAGAAGAAAACTGCTTACATTTAACCGTCGTAGAGGAACTTTCCTGCTCGCCAGCAGCATGACTGATGCTGATGATCTTGGCCTTACTTTTTCAACTGACTTGAAATGCAGTGACAACATCGAATCAATAGCTGCATCTACTGCAAGGAAATTTGGATCACTGTGTCGTGCCAAAAGTATTTTCTCGTCAGAGTACATTTTTCACATTTACATTCGCCCGTGCATTTAATACTGCTGGCATATCTGATCTAGTGTTCCTGCTATTCATCTCGAGGTTTTTGCCAAAATCCAAAGAAATCTGTAATGTAATTTATCCTAACTTGTTATCTCGACTTCAGTCACTTTCTCACCGACATAACCTGGCTTCCCTCTGTCTTTTCTACAAATATTTTCATGGAAACTGCTCCGACGAGCTTTTTTACCTGATGCCCCGACTGCATGAAGTTAAATGTGCCACTAGATTGGATTATAGGTCCCACGCATTTACGGTTTAAATAGTTAAATGAAACCACCACTTTACTCCAACAGTTTATTTTCAAATACTTCCCGCCTATGGAACTCCCTTCCGTTTACTTGCTTCCCTGAAAAATACAATCTTCAAAAATTTAAATGCAACGTTAATCGCTATCTTTATTTTCTTAAATCCCGTTCATTTTTTGCCCTTTCCTCAATCCTACCTATACTCAGTCTTCTCTCTCACTTTCACTCCATGTCACCCCTGCCTGCTAGTGACATTCCTGTCTTGCTTGGGGTGAAATGATTAAAAAAAAAGAATCTTAGTAGTTATGACTGCTCGGTAAATATATGTCGAATTTTTCCACCGAAAGAAACGGCTAATATTATCATTACTATTACTGTTCGCTGGGAAGTGATGATATATGTTAAGAACAGTGTGACAAACTCACTAGTGAGAAGGATAAAGATTTCAAACTATGATAATGTGATTCATGGCTGTTCAGTAAATTGTTAAAATCAACATAAGAGTTGCTGCAGTAGCAACAACGCAAGCTTTTCTACTGAAAACATCAGATTAGAAAATCGATTCATTGATTGAATTGATAACTGATTGATTAATTGATTGATTTTATTGATGTGAGAATTTGTAATTACTTTAATATTTGTTTAATTTAATTATAATTAATTTTGCCAGTACCAAAATCAACATCACCACTATCATCAATAACCTGAGAGTAATAATTATCGCTGAAATCAAACAATTCAGCCTTTTGGTTCAGGTTCGCAACTTATATCAACATTTTGTATTCCCTGTCAATCATTTCCGTTAATCACAAAGACTAACGGAATTAAATGTTTGCGAAACTATATAAGGCTTTATTCATATAAAA